AAAATGTTGACAAGCGTGATACCAACATTCGCTAGTTAGTTAGACTACCATCAATTACAAGGTTAGACTGTTCGCAACCATTTATTCAATTCGACATTCGTCCACCTTCTTAACATTATGTTGTTAGACCCACTCAACCCGGATTTCAACCTTCTGCAACACTGGTTTTGCCGTTAGATCTATTTACCCGACTTCGTCCATCATGGAAGAACTCATTGCAACACTATGGTTGCTAGCCTGGGATAACCAGCTTCTGCAGAAATCATTGCCGCTGTGACCTGATTCCACCTCGGAATATCTTCCGTCCACTTGCAATAATTACCGGTTAGGGACCTTCCTGTTCCGGACATCTTCCCGCTCAGCGGTTGCTGAAATCTATTCTACCGGGACATTCTGCAACACTGTTGTTAGGACCACTATGGTTGCCAGGGTCTGTTCTGTTCCGGACATTTCGTCCATTCGGTCGGTTAAAGGGGACCAGGCTTAAACCCGGAAATTCCAAGTCCGCAAAGAACATCGCTGTGGCGGAAATAACTTTATTCTGTTCAGCGTTTTTTTCGTCGTATGCGTTAAATACCTTAATACGGTATCGCTAAATCCAGTTGATTTCAATGTTAATATGCAGGCGAAAAATATGCATAAGCGATTTTACATGTGCCATCGTTCAGATCATACCAGTAATTTTTAAAAGTTGGCTTCCACCGTAGACTCATTTTAACTAGTAAATTCAGCATAAGTTGCGACCCAGCACAGAATTACCGAAGAGCGAAGAAGAAGTAGGCTCGATTAATGCTTCAACAAGATTGAAGGTCGCTGCCCTTAATGTTCATCGTTCGCCGACATTGTATATGCGATGATTGTTGTACTTCCTGTTCGCTGATCAAGACAACAGCCGGCTGAAATAGTCATTGATAGTCACGTTGGTACCGCCGTCAGCTTATATCTAAAGCCTATCATAGGCCTGCAGGAGTGCCGAAAACCAAAACACAACAAAATTTGCCAATCTTTCGCTCGGTCTCTTCTGAAAGACATTATGTCGCAGCATAGTACGCCAAAACATTGTTATCTATCATAATAAAGATTAAACGCATCGGCAGTATCACACATAAATATGCCTTTCGGTAATGCCTACTGGCAGTAATGCAAAATGATAAATATTGTCAAGAGTTTTTGCAAACATCTATTTGACAATAGTGAAACCTTCGCGTTGTTACGCAGAGTGGTTGCACCGCTTATTGTCGATCGACGCTGTCGACAGTTCACGCTCAACATGGTTGAATATGATATCGATGAATGTTCAGACAAACTGGTTACCGTTCCTCGCCAATAAAACATAAAACAATTAAAAATTTCAGTACACTTAGTATACTGGAGCCCTTAGATTGCGCATTGTCGTGATGACCATTGTGTCCTATTTTATAACACACGCATTGCCAGCCTGTTCGATGTAGATGTTGCGGGGACGATCCATCATCGCTTATACAGTTGATGTTTGCTCACAAGTTATTGAGCAGAAATATATTGAACAATACTAATTATAGTTAATATAAATGTAAACAATTATAGAGAAGTGAAGATCATAAAGCAGATGATGACAATAGTCATTCATAATGACAAAGTCATTGATCTCGCTATTTGTGAAGAATATACTATCTTATAAGTTATTATCATCACAGACAGTTCATAGAAGATTAAGATCAACATTGTGAAGTTTGAAGATTCGGATTGGGACTATTTTCGTTCAATAAATTTAAAATTCAAATTCATATCAATAATACCTGCATGAGAAACCTACTCTACTCATTATATACAAACGGAAATGCCTATCCATGCAAGAAAGTTATTGATACTGAGCCGATCGCGTGAAAACACATTATTACTTCTACCAACCTTAGACCATAGTTTCAGATTTTTAAATTTTGACTGGACTGAAAAATGGGAGTAGTTCTCTACCCCAGAGGTCTTCAAACCTTCACAATCAAAAGGTCACCCAAACTTTTGCCACATAGTAATGTAAAACTTATGAACTGGTGTCTGGATAATCATTGATGAAAAATAACTTTAAACAAAGATGAGCATCGCTCATTTCAGAAGAACTACCTATCATGTAGGGATATTGATGACTTTTGTCATTTTCATGGATATTCTTAGTACATTGTCAGCTCTAATACATCTCACTATTCAACGGATTCTGTACATTTTTTTTTTCTCAGCTTTCATTGGCTTCTTTTCTTGGTCAGTTTCACTGTCTCTATGGAAGGTTTACATTTTATATATATTATATAATTAGTGGTGTTTTTCTAACAAGGGACCGTATATTAACTTGTAGAAAGTGCCGCAGCATGCCAAACCTGGCATAGGGCTTGGTGGATGGATGGATCATTCCCTCTCTAACATCTGCTAAGATCGAGACAGAGCAGTTCATTCCTAAAGTGACTGTACCATGTTTCCAGAATATTGGTAATGGAAGGATATTGGTACCACAAAATAGGACATATTAGGTCCGGCACCAATCACATTAGTGCACAATCTAGGCTCCAGATAACTTTTGGGGTGTGGAGCAGTACTCTTCACATCATATTGCAAGTGGAGGTGTACTGAGAATTTTGAAGGAGAATTGACATGTTTTGTGTGTGCTTGAAGTTGATGTGGTTTGTCTGGACTCCATTCATCGCATCACTATTTCCAACCATGTATTTGCATTTGAAGATTCGGAGAAACAACTGAGCTTAATGTGTGATGATAAAATGTCAGGGTCCACTGGATATAAATAGGAACAGTGTAGTTTTTAGCCACTTGAAAAATAGTGACGCATATCGCTGTAATACGGCAACGCAAGGGATTCCTTATGTCGGGGTTTCCTTATGTGTCAAAATCAGAGCCGCGAAAGAAACTCTTTTGACAAGTATTTATCCGGGAATAATTTTTTGCCATTTGCAATAATACGCGACGGAAATTTTATGTTAGATGTACAAGGTATTTATGTGTGTACACGATACGCTTGAAATCTTTTATTGTGTCGTACTTAATTGATTTTGAGGCGTACATTATGCCTGTACGCCTCTTATCTGTAGCCCTGACAATCTATGAAAATATCATATCTTTCAAGAAAGTTGACGAAAGTTGTAAATTTTGTTGTGTTTTGTGGAGGTTTTTTCTTCAGCCTCACCATTGCAAGGTACCATGATATAGGCTAGATATCGCTGACAGCAGTACCAAACATTGACTATCCAATGATATTTCAGGCCAGCTGTTTGTGCGGAGCTGCATCCCAGGGGCCCTGGACAAGGAGTACAACCCCAAACAAACTCCCATCAGCCTGTGCGAGGGATGTGCCGCAGGGGGCTACAGGAAATGTCAGCGGAACAGCGAGGAGCAGTATTACGGAGCCAGCGGTGCCTTCTAGATGTCTTGTTGAACGAACTGAGCTCACTTTTCCTCTTCTTCTTCTGCTGGTAACAAAATTTGGTGGGGGTTCTATATTAGCACAGGTCCCTCGCAACCTATGCTAGCGTGTAAAAAGGTGGACCTAGGAGATTTGTAGGTTAAAGTAGGTCCCTACAGGGGTGGAAATAACTTTAAAATTGCTAGTGTAGTCTGGAACAGTGGCACATGTAAAATCACTTGCCATGATAATTTTTCCACTATAAACAACATAATTAACATTGGAAAGTCAACTGGACAACGGTACAGTGTGATAAAGATATTTGCTTGCCCGACAGAAAAAAAACACTGGACTCGGACGTCGGGAATGGGTTATTTCCACCCCTGACCTAGCAACCCATAGTGGTTGCAAGAGGTGGACCCAGGAGATTTCCAGGTTTAAATAGGTCCCTAGCAACCCGTAGTGGTTCTAAGAGGTGGACCCAGGAGATGTCCAGGTTAGAATAGGTCCCTAGCAACCCATAGTGGTTCTAAGAGGTGGACCCAAGAGATGTCCAGGTTAGAATAGGTCCCTAGCAACCCATAGTGGTTGCAAGAGGTGGACCCAGGAGATGTCCAGGTTAGAATAGGTCCCTAGCAACCCATAGTGGGTTGTAAGGTGGACCCACGGAGATGTCCAGGTTAGAATAGGTCCCTAGCAACCCGTAGTGGTTGCAAGAGGTGGACCCAGGAGATGTCCAGGTTGGAATAGGTCCCTAGCAACCTATAATGGTTCTAAGAGCTGGACCCAAGAGATGTCCAGGTTAGAATAGGTCCCTAGCAACCCATAGTGGTTGCAAGAGGTGGACCCAGGAGATGTCCAGGTTAGAATAGGTCCCTAGCAACCCGTAGTGGTTGCAAGAGGTGGACCCAGGAGATGTCCAGGTTAGAATAGGTCCCTAGCAACCCGTAGTGGTTGCAAGAGGTGGACCTGAGATGTCCAGGTTGGAATAGGTCCCTAGCAACCTATAATGGTTGCAAGAGGTGGACCCAGGAGATGTCCAGGTTGGAATAGGTCCCTAGCAACCTATAATGGTTGCAAGAGGTGGAACCAGGAGATGTCCAGGTGTCCAGGTTAGCAAGAGGCCTCCCTTTCAGCAAACAAGAGGTATCAGTATATATCACACCTGTCAAGCAGACTCCAGTCTGCAGAGAGGCAAGCCTGTTTGTGAAATTTGGCAAGTCGAATTTCTCAGTTTGTTGATAAATTTTTATTTCTATATTTAATGCCTCTTCCCGACAGAGAACTCCATATCTTCCTCACGTAACCTGCAAAGGTGGTGATCGTATCAAGGCTGTTCGTGATGAAGACAATCAGATTTAGTTGTGCAATCAGCGACGTTGATTCAAAAGTGATCATTCGCAAGATATTTGTCAGAGAACATTTGAATCAGATGTGATTCGATAGTGAAATGATCCTCATCAATGAAAACTTGTCCAGACTTCTAGGATCCCATATAATTTTTGCAGTGAACAGTAACTGTTATTGTTTTCAAACCTTTCAGTATAATCCACCATTAATACATGAATACAAATATCTTTCTGCTTTCTCCAGGTGGTGGTGATGTGTCGCTTTGTAATGACACTTGACCGTCTTGAGACAACACCGATGGACGTAACCATGCCAAGTGGGCGAGGAACCGTCGGTCGGATGACTATGAACTGTTGTGTAAAGATGGGAGACGTGTCAACATAGACAAGTTCAGCGAGTGCCATCTTGGGGTTGTCCCAGCCAATGCTATTGTCACTTCCAGTAAGTGTGTTGTCAGGAAGGATTAGCTAGCAGTTAAAAAGACTCAACTTGTATGTGCAAACACAGTCTGTCTCACAGTCTCTGAACCACATTATTTTCCCCTTCAGCCCAGCCCTTTCTGCAATGTTTAAGCTCTAAATGAAGCAGGTCTAGACTTCCTCAGGTTCAGGTTGAATGTCCTATCTCACTGAGGGTCCATTTCAATTTAAAAGGAACTGTTTGTTTTTATCAAAATTATATTTATACTAAGCCTTAGTCTAGTGCAAATGGGTGTATAAGGGCTCTATATGTACTACTCAAAATAAGAGTGTTTTATATGGCCATAGTTAATCCTTCATGGGATAACTGTAACCATATCAAATACTGAGAGGTCTTGATATAACAGATTATCTGAAGTCATGTGAAGCAAGTTTATGTTGTTTAAGTCTTAAGTAGTCAATCTAATCTTGTCATTACTACGATTATTCATGACATCAGGGAATTTATTTGAAAAACTGGTTTGTTGCTTCATAATGATAACTAACATGTTTATTTGACTTTACAGAATTCAAGAGTGCACAAGAGCGTGAGATTTTCTGGAATTTGGTCAACTACGGACAACAGTTCTTCTCTTCGGACATGTAAGTTAATGTTTAATGAGTTCATTTGATATCTTGTCATTGTTCCTCACTGGTGTGAGATGCTGCTCGTGATATCAACCACTGATTTGTGTGGCCAGAATAATTTACATGCCACCATGAATGTGCTGTGAAAGTGCTGTCTGTGGCTTAAAACCTTCACATGGTTCATATATGGCATAGTGTTTCTGAAGGAACAGAAACAGACGGCCCTCTTGAAGATTTGGGTAAGAATTGGTCTTCAGGAACCCATTCTTGTCATAAGAGAAGATTCATGGGTGGTCAGACTCGCTGACTTGGTTGACACATGTCATCGTATCCCAACTGCATAGATTGATGCTCTTGATGTTGATCACTGGATTGTCTGGTCCAGACTTGATTATTTAAAGACTACCGCCATATTGCTGAGTGCAGCGTGAAACAACCAACAAATGCATAGGTTACTCATTATATCAGTCACTGGTTTGGCTTGTCCTGACTTGATAATTACACATACCATTCTATAGCTGATGGGGGGGTGGGGTAGCCCAGTGGTTAAAGTGTTCGCTCATCACACTGAAGGCCTAGGTCGATTCCCCAAATGGGTACATTGTGTGAAGCCCATTTCTGGTATCCTCTGCCATGATATTGCTGGAACATTGCTAAAAGCTGCATAAAAAAACCTCACTCACTTTAAGGCTGAGTGTGGCATTATACAACATACATATCTTAAGGTCAAATAAGGTTTGATTTGACCTGCTCTGTTGTTTATTTCCAGTGATGGCGACTTCCACATGTTTGACTCTGGGACATGGTACTCGGACTTGATGTTTACGGATGCAGCTGTGCGTCTCATGAGGATCCCCGACAACAGACAGAACTATCTCGACTGGCTGGGAGAAGACTTTGTTGCCCAGATAGAAAACCTTCAAAAATATACATGTGTGAACCCCTCGCGAGCCTTCTCAGTTTCCCCCAGCTTCCTGTTTGTTGCAGCATTAGTTGCTGTTGTACAGTTTTTCAAGTTATAGTGTCACTAGAATAACTTTGGACCTTTTGGAATCTAATACCAATCTCCAAAACAACGTAAATCTCTGTTTACACTTACTAGTAGTTAGAACAGAATGAATGTAAATGTTATTAAAAGGTACTGAAGTCATCAAATCAAAATTAATCTTTTTCATAAATTGGTTTTTGATGAGATTTGTTCATATTTTTATGAACATATTCAGTTTTACTTTTAACAATTTCATAATACTGCTACTACATTCATCAGTGGTTTAGAAGAGATTGATGAAATACAATATACATGTATGCAAGAATTCCATGTTATATTGTAATTAATGAATTCAATTTATTGCTCAAGAAGAATGGCATGATAAGCACTAAATAAACTCCATGTGGTTTAAAATCTGTTAGATGTGTGGAGTACTAAATATTAATATTTTCAATAAATGCAAGTTTTTTGTAAATTGGTAACTGGTCCTGACAGATCTGAACACAAAAAAACTGGTAATAGTTATTTGCTAACAGTCGTGAAAGTCTTGCCCAGGGTTAATATTCAACATTTCTCATTCCAGAACTGTAAATATCATATTTTATACCCAGATATCATGTGTACATAGTGTGTTCATACCATAACCACAAATCATATTTTTAATGTGTCAGAAATTAATGGAATTAAATGTTTATGTGTGGCTTACCTGATAGGTTCCAGTCATTAAATATAACTGGAAGAATTTTTCAGTAAGGTGCTAGTTTGCTATTTCTGATGTATTTTTTTAGGCGACTTATCTCAGACCGAATCCCAATTTGGATAGAAAAATATCTAAAACATGTAACACTAATTTCTAATTAATACAGTATTCTATGTTATTAAGGTTCTTGCTAGTAATGATATATCATTAGGTGCTTTTAGAGTCAGTCTTAGGACTATTCTCAGAATGTTATGTAATAGCTGCAACAACTAATCTTTTTGTTAATTACAAGTGATATAAAAAAAGTTGATTTCACATACTTAACTTTTTAATTGTGTGATGCATTTTGAAAATGCATTCCTTTTAGGTCGAAACTGGTTTTATGACTTGTTTTATACAGGATTGTTTTTACATTGTACATAACTACAGTTTGTAATTATCGTTATATTTTGTACATTATCAAAATCTCATAAGAAATACTTTTGTAAAATAAAGTGATTTTTATATCTGTTGGAGTTGTGCAGGTATTTGTAGTTCTATTAGTTTATTCTGTTTTCCATCTACTCAAGATTTATTATCAACTTCTATGTAATTCAACATATCCGCTTCCCTCATATTGCTCTGCTCGGATCCCAAATATGCTGTGAAGAGTTGCATCCCTTTGGGCATGGCAGGAAACTGAGTGTTGACTGCAGCAAGAGCTTTGACAGCACACTGACCCAGGATGTGTCCAGAAGGTTTAACAGTTTCGTAGAATAATTGACAAAACATTAACCAAGAACCCATTCATAGATTGGTTTATATCCAGTTGTGTATAGAACGTTACAACTGTGGCAACTGACGTTGGTCCAATGTAGTTCTCTGAAGAATCGAGGTTAACAGCTAACTTTTAATGACATTACGGCTTAACGTGGGAGGAAACCAGTGAAGATCCGGGTTAGAACTGATCTTCAGCAACCCATGCTTGTCGTAAGAGGCGACTAACGGGATCGGGTGATCAGGCTCGCTGACATCGTATCCCAATTGCGTAGATAGATGCTCATGTTGTTGATCACTGGATTGTGTGGTCCAGACTCGGATTATTTGCACACCGCCGCTATATAGCTGGAATATTGCTGAGTGCGGCGTGAAACTAAACTCACTCACTGTAGTGGGAGGAAAGCCTAAGTGACATTGGTCTCATACGTTTCCAACTTTGCTAAAACCCAGGGCACATACATAGTGCTGACAAACCTAGAAACATGATCTGTGCGAAACCAGGATTCGAACTGAAGATAAGTTTCTGGCGTATCCAAGGGACGCAACTCTGCAGAGCGACATGTGGCGTGTTGGGCGACGAGCCAGTTATGGGCCCTGTGTTTGTAACAGTTGATATTACATTGATTGGGCTGTAATGTATGAGACATTATTCCCACCAAGGGTGTGGTAGGTATCCTCTTCCATGTACACGTAGAGCAGGCCTTGAACAAGGCCCTGAACACATCCCATGGCCCTCTGTGTTTTATAAAAAGGTTTACAAAATGTTCCGCCCAAACATATACGCGAAATGTGCACCACGGGTTATAACTTTATATATCCATAAACGCAAAAAGAGAACATATTGAAAAATAAATTCTAGTACATTATTTGACAGGATGCTTATTTGACCAAATTGACAAAACTGACAACGTGAAAACTAATTTCATTGGCATAGTTATCGACTGTTTACAATGACAGAGTATTATTTTCTCTGTGGAAAGTTAACAATATTGTTTTTAAACCTTTGCCATTACTCGCAAGAAAATCCAGCTATAGGAGTGAGTGAGTGAGCTCGGTTTAACGTCGCTTTTAGCAATGTTACAGCAATATCACCTCTGGGGACACCAGAAATGGGCTTCACACATTGTGCCCATGTAGGGAATCGAACCCACCCGTCCAGCAACAGGATGGACCCGATGATAGTCGTTGTTCTTATAACGATCAGGGTACTGTTGTGCCGGAGAAAGCTGTCTTAGCACTTTGTGGGGTTGTGAGGTAGTCTAGTTGTTAAAGCGTCCGTCCGTCAAACTAAAGATCCGGGTTCGATTCCCCATATGGGTACAAAGTGTGAAGCAAATTTCTCGTGTCCCCCGATGTGATATTGCTTGAATATTGCTAAAAGCGGCGTAATCCCATACTCACTCACTCTTAGCGCAGGGGTTGTTTAGTACAACGGTACCCAGATCGTTTACTTGACACATCTGACCCCGAAGATTTAAGGCCCCTTAAGTTTGTTTCGAGAAATCGGGGCCTGGGTCAGTTCAGCTGAACCACCGTCTCTGTACTGACGTACTATTAAAATATTACGATATTTTCATTATTCTATACAGTCGTAATCCGTAAATTGAATTGGAGGTCACTGCTAACAAAATTACCATAACATAACCGAACCCCATTAAACTTTGATGATATATTTTTAATACACTGAAAATTCATTTAGTGTTATAAGTAATATCTTCCATCGTATAATATCTGCACTCGCTATTCAAAATGTGTTCATCATAATGGAATGGAGAGAAAATACGCTGAGCAATCTGTGATACATGCAGATATATTATATTATTTGCACTAAAGCTGTCTGTATTTTCCAGCCTTTGCCATCTGTCACTGCCATGAATAATTATTATTACTCCGAGGTCCGTTTCACTAATTTCGTTTTTCCCGCCGCTGTGGACATATGCTCTTATAATAGTAGGGCAACTTCATTTTTAATTTACGATTGAAACAGTTGGGAGATATATCGGAGTCTATCAACTTTGGTATGATAATAATGAATGTTGTGAGAGTGCATCATCGCTTGCACTTCCTTATGACCATAGTTGTTTGTACAGTAATAGCTCTTCAAAGATGATTGGTGTATGACGTGAAATTTGCATGTGTACGATTTTCATTTTCAAACAAATAAAAACCGACTAGAAACAAACTCTAACAACGGTCTGATGCAAGATGGTTGTCAAAATTAATGGTCTACAGTGATTTATCGACCTTCTTGAAAACAGTCAAAATCAAGAATGACACCCCATGCACGAGAATATAGTGATAAAGAGAAATGGTGGTGCGTGCATAAGTTGTCTGACTTTGAAAAGTTTGTTAAAGCTTATACTTCCTATCAAAATTGAAAGTTCGTGTTCCCCTACTTGTAAATATCGGATGAAAAGTCAGAGACATAACACTAGCAGTAAATCCATTTGACTTGTTCAGTATCTACATGTTCTGCGACTATCAACACCAAGAATGTCATCGTTACTAAGTTAAACAATGCCCATTACCACCCTGCCGACGAACCCAACATTCTTCATGATTCGTTTCGGTTAGAGCGTCCGCCCGGAGAGCGGCAGGTCGCGGGTTCGATCCCCGACCGCGTCATACCAAAAGACGTAAAATATGGTACATGTTGGTCCCTGCCTGGAGCTCGGCATTAATGGGTACAACACGGACTGGTCGGCTCGGAGTAAGTATAATGTGTCTGAGTGGGGTATTCATGCTTCACTGCGGCATGGTATCTCAGTGGGCTAGCACTATAAAACCAGCTTCAGTCTAGGCTAGTACAAGTAGCCGCACATACACATACACACGCATGCACGTCGTCATATGAGCGAAATATTCTCAAGTACGACGTAAAACCCAATTTCACCTCACCTCACCTCACCTCACCTTCTTCATCACAGCCGTTTCTAAAATACAAAAGTCTCAAACGAAGCAAGTGCAGGTTTCCTCAGGTTCTTCATCGCCCGTCTCGATTGGGTTCTTTTTTTCCAATTTGAATAGGATATATTGTTTTTAAAGAACCACTAAACTTTGTTTTTTGTTACTCTTTTAACCATTACATATGAAAGATTTGTGGTTAGTCTTATGCGGAACACCAAATTTATTCTTTAAAAACTTGTGGTTAATTAATACCGAGCGATTAAAAGTGGCCAAAAAGTCGCCTGCTTCCCTCTCGCCCGCCAACGAAACCACAGACAGGTTACGTAACTCTGTCGCCCGAGCACTGCAGTGACGTCATATGAGGAACGATTTTCAGTTAGTTGTATAGAAAGTGTGTAGCACGCTCATCATTTTGATGATTTCTCGACATGAACGACGACATGCCGAATCGTTGCTTTGTCGTCAATTGCTCCTAGGGGTCGGGTGATGGTGTCACCATGCACAGATTTCCACAGGATCCCGCAGTTCGTGCTAAATGGGTTATGTTTGTGAGTGCGAAGCGAGCGTTGTGGAAGCCTGAAACGATATCTTACTTGTGTTCAGATCGCTTCACGGAAGTTAAAGAATCAAAACTACTTACTAGTTATAGTAAAATATGTATATGATTGATGACCATAAAGGTTTTCCATAACACAACTTGTAACATAACGATTTCTTCCTCGGAAGTGAGGTTGTGGTCGAAGTAACAATAATATTGTAAGTAGTATTATATTGACACCCACCTCGCTGCCAGGAGAGAAATTGTCA